GTTCGGGGCGACGGCGAGGGGTCCGGGCCCGCGTTTCCCAGCGTTCGGCGCCGGGAGCGGGCCAGGAGGACGGGAGAGGCGCGCGGGTTGACGTATAAGGGGGGAAGGAGGAGGAGAGTGTACGGGTGCGATCATACCAGCACTAATGCACCGGATCCCATCAGAACTCCGCAGTTAAGCGTGCTTGGGCGAGAGTAGTACTAGGATGGGTGACCTCCTGGGAAGGGCCTTAGCCAGTTGTCGAGCACGGCGCTGACGCTGTCTCTGACGAGCCCTCTTCGTCAGCACCGGCGAACTATTCATCATCGACTCCTTAAGGGATGTGGAGTCGTTTGGAGCAGGTATGTTGCATATGGGTTCCTTAGCAGCAATTGAGTAGGAACCTTCACCTGCGGCCTCTTTGGGCATTGCAGACTTGAAAGTTTTCGAAATCTTCCTATATTTGCGAGACGAGGAAGATTTCGCGGATGAGGATGATAAATACTCCTCAAACTTCGCCTGATCGAATTCGTATTCGATCTCTTCATTGATGATGATCTTGATCGGTTGCGACACCGCGGCCTCGGCAGCGAGGCCGCTGGCTCCCACTGTGGTCGCCAGCTTGTTTGAGTCAAAAGTCGCTTTGGTTCGTGGACCGCCGATTCACAGATCGTGAAGAGGGGGCTTATGATTCTAACTTCGTTATCGAAGTAGAAATTGAAACGATATCTTATCGAAGTAAGATAGTCGTTCTTCTTAAAATCAAGTCGAAGCTTAATTTCAAGGCGTTGCAAGAAAAGAACTCAAATCTCTGCTCTCTCTGCTCTGGAATGCTCTAACAAATGCTCGATCCTCGTCAGAAGTGACCCTAGGGGGGTATTTATAGCCTCAAGGGTCAGTAACTGCAAAAACTTAACAATCGAAGAAGTCAGTACGGCGAGACAGTGTTTACTGTCTCGCTGGGCGAGACAGCGTTTGCTGTCTCGACCCGCGAGACAGTAAATTTGCTGTCTCGCTCAGCGAGACAGTAAATGCTGTCTCGGAAAATGGCAGTTTCTCGCTGTAACTGTTCTCTCACGTTTCAAACTCCGTTATTTTGGCAGTTATCCACGTGATTTTCGCCCATGATGTTTCCCACGTCCCTTGGCAGTTAATGGACACGTGTAGGGCAGTTACAAATGTAGTTTTGACTATTTCAACACTGTCTCGCTGGCGAGACAGCAAAGACTGTCTCGCTGGCGAGACAGTTCATACTTGTTTTGATTTTTCCAAAACAGTATTAAATCCTTTCTTGTGAATTTTTTGAGTGATCTTCTCTATGCTTGGGATATCTATTAGCATTTTTTGACGCCTACAGTTATCAACAAGAATTAACATATTTTCAACAAGAGTTAACATGTTTGCAGCAAGAGTTAACATGTTTGCCACAAGAGTTAACATATTAGCGTTAAGAGTTAACATGTTTGCAACAAGAATTAACATGTTATCCATCATGTTATTTACAAGAGTTAACATGTAATAGGTTTAGCTTAATAACCTGTCAAAAAAAATTTATATGTTAACTGTAACTTAACAATCTAACTGAGTAACTTTACAGACCCAAGTAAGATAACATTTTCATTATAATTCACATTGGCATAGATATATTTCAGTTCATATAAACAGTTAACTACAAAAGTATTACAAACACCCAAACATATTTCAGTTCATATACACCGGTAACTACAAAAGTATTACAAACACCCAAATATGTTTCAGTTCATATAAACAGTTAACTACAAAAGTATTACATACACCCAAAAGTGTTTCGGCAAATCCGCAACTCATATCAATCGGCGATCGGTTCATTGCAAGATGCGCGGTTGTGGCCTTCGGTGTGGCATTGAGAGCATTTCAAAGATCGTTTGTACACTGTTCGGTTGTTGATACGTCGAGTTTTATTTCTCCCCTTTCTTTTGATAGTATGTGGTGGAAGTAGCTCGATCTCATCCTTTGGCACGTTTCGTTTCTCATAATCTGGTATAGGATAGAGAATCAGGTCATAGCTCTTTTTAAATGCTTCTATGGACATAAACCAATCGCAATATTGGTAAATGTCTCTCTTCATTCTATGGACATAAACCAATCGCAATATTGGTAAATGTCTCTCTTCATGTACGAGATGACTGCACATGCATGTTTACACGGAATCCGCATGACGTCCCAAGCACGGCAAGTGCATGTCTTCTTCTCCAAATCAACACAGGTAGTTTTATGTGTTTGCACTTCAAATATATCAGCTGCAGCTTGCTTAACATCCAATGGACGACCTTTCTCTATATTTTCTTTAAGCACCATCTTTGCTTGTGGACAGAGATATCCAACCCATTTATCTGTAAGTAACCGGCGATTACTCATTCGGACCATTATCTGTTTACGGATATGCTCAACCATTTGTAGAATCCATAGCATTCTAGCTTCCCTTATCCAATTATTAAAAGACTCAGCGACATTAGATGTTACGTGCCCATACCTGAAATTATATATAACTTTATAACAGGTCACAAATAAAGGTTAACAAATAATTGAATAGGGTTAACATAATAAAGGTTAACAGATAAGAGTTAACAGGTTATAAATAAGGGATGACACAAATAATTGATAGAGTTTATTTTTTTTGAATTACAGTTAACATGTTTACATATAATAGTTAACATTTAACAGTTAACATATTTGCAACAAAAGTTAACATGTTTTTGACAAGAGTTAACATGTTATCAACAAGAGTTAACATGTTATCCATAAGAGTTAACATGTTATTCACAAGAGTTAACATGTTAGCCACGAGACTTAACATATTATCAACAAGAATTAACATGTTATCCACTCTGATATAGTTAACAGCTCTGATATAGAATTTAACAAATCCAAAGATAACATGTAGTTAACAGCTCTGATATAGAATTTAACAAATCCAAAGATAACATGCTAAATAGCATAAGTTCATACATTAGCATAGGAATTTAACAAATCCAAAGATAACATGCTAAATAGCATAAGTTCATACATTAGCATAGATATAGAACAGTCAAATAACGTTACCTTATTCCCGGGAAGAATGCATTTGCCCATTGATCAGGAGAGTAGTTCATAGCAGTGTTGTATGCCCTTGGATCCATGTCATATATCTCTTTCATGTACTCTTTTCATTCTGCTATTGTGTATTTATAACAAGCACTTTGGAGTAAGTTCCCCAGAACATGAGTGTCCTTCGACTTCATACCCAAGTCCTTAAGCTTTAACCTGAAATTTTCAACAAGATGTAGAACACACCTCGAGTGTAGAGCTTCTGGAAAATACTCTTTTACTGATTCTTTAATTCCTTTGTCCGCATCAGAAATTATAACCAATTGGTGGGGAAGATTGTAAGGGTCAGCCCTCTCATAAAGTATGGACCATAGACCTTGGAGGAACCACTTCCAATTCATCAAATTCTCTTGATCACATATGCAATACGCTAAGGGAAATATACCTTGGTTCCCATCGTATGCTATGGCCGAGAGGAGAATACCTTTATATCGATCCTTCAAAAATGTACCGTCCAAAAATAGAAGGGGTCTGCATCCACTCAAGAAACCTTTGATGCATGCAGCATAACAAACAAAGAGTCTCAAAAACCTCCCCTCATTCTGGTCAACATGTATGTAACTGCCGGGATTTGTCTCTTTTACCATGCGCTCATACCTAGTCGTGTAAGAAGAAACAAACCAACAAGTTAACATGTTATCCGTGTAGCTTAACAAGCGACCAAAAAAAGCTAACACATTATTGGGGTAACTTAACAAAAGTTAACGTGTTATTTACAAGAGTTAACATGTTATTAACAAGAGTTAACATGTTATTTACAAGAGTTAACATGTTAGTCGTGAAACTTAACATGTTATCAATGTTATCAATGAACTTAACAAGGAACATGTTAACTATTTGTTTTAACAAGCAAACTTTGGAACTTAACAAGTTAATAATAAAGCTCAGCATTTACCATCGTAGTTGATCATACGACTCATATATATCCCCGTAAAGCTTCTCCTGTGCTCTCTCTTTCCCCCACCAAATCTTACTGTAATCAATTCTAAGGCCGTAGTTTGTGAGGAACTCCTTTTGCACATCAACGGGTCGGATTTCTAGACGGACCTTCAGGAGTGGTTGTAACTGTGTTGCAATGAATTTACGGGATGCCCTTGAACGACATGTATTTTGCCCGTACTGCCCACAAGTATGTTCATTAACAAACTTCTTGATCGATAGTCTATTTTCATTCTTAACAGGTGAAGCAAACAACATCCATGGGCACTCGTAAGTTTCTTTATATCGGCAATATACACGGATACGTTTTGGTTCGTTCTTTTTAAACTCATAATCAAACATTTTGGCCAGAGAATAGTATGTCAGCGCCAACCTTAATTCTTCAGCACTTTCAAATTCTTGACCCTCTTCAGTTAATGCATTATGCCACCAACCAGGAATCATTACTGTGTTGTTAATAATGTCATCAGAACGCACTACACTGCTACCACTGGGATTATCAGTTGGAATTCTTTTAGAACCATGGTTTGCGGCAGAAGTACTATCAATAAACTTTGGCTTCAGTGTATTCATAATGCTGCACAAATATAATTGGTTTTTCTTAAAATAACAAATAGGACTTGTACTTAAATAATGCAGTACCCTTAAGAGTTAACAAATATGCCCTAAAGCTTAACAACCTTCGGTAGAAAGTTAACATATATCAGTTAAAAGCTAACATTTAACCTGCTCTATGCAATTCATAAGTTTTCAAATAAATTAAGTGTAAATATAACTTACATTTCAGGAGGTTGCTTCGGGGTGTTCTCACATCTGGAAACATCTACATCTATATTAGCTCGAATATGGATCTCCAGACACCCGATATTACGGTTGTGCTCCACCATACACTCCATATCATCCTCATTCTCGATCTCAAAACTCAGATCAGGGATCCTTTCAGATTTATAAACCATTGATAGCGCATCATAAGGAACCTTCAACCTCTCAGCCACGTCGAACTTAAACTCAAAAAAAGAGGTTGCAGAAGTTACCCTTGAGAACACTGCTCTCTCACCCAAGGAAACCATGCAAATAAGGGGGCTCTCCGCCATAAATGAAGGGGATTTAAGAGGAGTTATGAAGGGCACTTTAGGACAAGTAGGGGGCTGAAGATCATAAGCCCTAACCGCAAAGATCTGCCCTTTGCACCATAAATACCCTCTCTTCAAAGCCGAGTGGGTTAACAGGATATATAACGGAGGGAGCGCGCCAAAATCCCCCCCCCAAAATGGCCATCATCTCGCCTTAAATGCGACGGAGAGGTTTCGCCAGCGATCAGATCTCGTTTTCGAGGCACGGAGTTGAAGGCGGGGGTATTTTAGGGAGGCTGGGTGCAAATACGGGTGAGAGAACTGCTTTAAGGGCTCTGTTACAGTTTTTTGAATATTTAAGGGCTTAGCCACATGGGCCAAAGTACATGGGGCTGGGCCACATTGTATTTCCAATTTTGGGGCCTTGAAGTAATTTTTCCTTTATATAACTATAAAATTTAGACTTTAAATCATAGAAAATTATAGAAATTTAAGAAAAATATAAATACTCTTTTAAAAATTATAATTAAATATTTTAAAATACTAGAAAATTATTTTAACTAGTATCAAAATTCATGGTCCTTACAAGGACCAACTGTTAAAACCGATTCATCTTCATATATGGATCTTATCTTGAAATTATCGGATTTTTATGTCACGAGACCAACTAATGGAGCTGGTGCGTTAATGACTCTCACATTTATAGGATTTTTAACAAACTCTCAGTCATCAACGGGTTTGATAAGAATTTATCGACTACCGTTTGAGTCGGGCTAGCATACAGATTGTTTAAGTCTGTTCTGCATGTAACATTGTGCTAAAAGAGTTAACTCTTTTAATGCTACGATATTGAATATGTAGACTTTGTCTTTCTTACGAGAATAGACTATCCGGCGCCGTGTGTTAGACGTACACTTAGGATTTTTGGCCAATCCTCAGCCATCAACGGATTTGACGTACCTTTACCGACTACCGTTTGAGTCGGGCTAGCATGTGAATTATTAAACCCGTTTCACATGTGACGTTGTGCTAAGAGAGATAATTCTCTTAGACTAGGTGCTATAATTTTAAATACATAGACTTTGTTTTTGTCACGGGAATAGGCTACCCGGCAACACGTGTTAGGCGTTGACTCATCCTTACTTAGGATTCAGGATAAAGGTCCCCAGACTTGTATTCTGGTGTCTTTTTCATTCGGTGAAAGACTAAACCGGCAACGCGTATTAGGCGTTGAATTGTCCTTTCTTAGGATTCAGGATAAAATTCCCCGTACGTGTGAGGCGTGGATTTTGACATTATTAATAACGACCTGTCACAATGTCGAATATGTGGGCTTTTGTTCTTTTTACGGTCAAGAACTAAATAGCAACGCGTGTTAGGCGCTGACTTATCCCTACTTAGGTTTCGGGATAAAAGTTCCCAAACTTGGATTCTGGTGTCTTCTTCAATCGGTGAAAGACTAAACTAGCAACATGTATTAGGCGTAGGCTTATCTCTATTTAGGAGTCGAGATAAAGTTCCCCGCGCGTGTAAGGTGCGGATTTTGGCGTTATTAATAACGGTCTGCCACAATGTCAAATATGTAGGCTTTTGTCTTTTTTACGGTCAAAGACTAACCGACAACGCATGTTAGGTGCTGACTTATTCCTACTTAGGCTTCGGGATAAAGTCCCCAGACTTGGATTCTGGTGTCTTCTTCAATCGGTGAAAGACTAAACCGGTAACGCGTGTTAGACGTAGGCTTATCTCTATTTAGAAGTCGAGATAAAGTTACCCGCACGTGTAAGGCGTGGATTTCGGTGTTATTAATAATGGTCTGCCACAATGTCGAATATGTGGGCTTTTGTTCTTTTTACGGTCAAGGACTAACAGGCGATGCGTGTTAGGTATTGACTTATCCCTATTTAGGTTTTGGGATAAAAGTCCCCAGACTTGAATTCTGGTGTCTTCTTCAATCGGTAAAAGACTAAACCAGTAACACGTGTTAGGTGTTGACTTATCCCTACTTAGGCTTTGGGATAAAATTCCCCGCACGTGTGAGGTATGGATTATCGATAGTGTCTTCTCTTGGGGTAAAGACGAACCCGACACTAGAGAGAAAGAATTTTATATTCTATTTTCGGGCCTTCTCTCGGGGTAAAAGTGAACCCGATACCGGCGAGGTAAAACTAAGAGTGGGATCTCCACTCTGAGAATCAAAAAGATTCGGATATGTATGTGGGGAAAATTGCAAAGAAGAGAACAAAGAAAATTGAATTGTATTCCTTTGATTCTGATTACAATTTGATTACAAAAGAGAAGAGAACGAATTTGATTCTCTCCTTTGTTTAAAACTGGGTTCTTCTAGGTAGCGATGGAATGCCTCCTTCGATTACTCGCGTCGAATTTGCTCTCCGTTGACGATCCGATCGTCTTCTATCTCGCGGGAACGATGAACTTTTGTGGAAAGTTTTATGAGTAACTCTTGAATGAGTTTTAGAACTCTGAACGAGTTAGAACTCTGTTAATAGAGTTGTTAGAACTGAAAATTTGGTTAATGACCAAGCTGATATTCTGTTGTTGAAGAATCTTCTCAGATTTGATCTTCTGAATTTGATTCAAAAATCCTATCTCCAAGGATTTTACTGGTGCTGCTGTTGAATCACCAAACCGAGTGGTTGAGATCCTGAGAATCCAAACTGTTGCCAACTCTTCCGTTGAATCACCAAACCGAGTGGTTGAGATCCTGAGAATCCAAACTGTTGCCAACTCTTCCGTTCCCAAAAAGCCAGCCTTTAACTCAGTTGAGTTTGTTGAGTTTTTATAGGTGGATAAGAGGTTGTAACTGCCCTCTAAATCCGTTCCTAAGTGGCCGTGATTTCCTCAGATCGTGAGGAAAACAGTTCTAAAAACCGTTCGACTCGTATTTGAACGAGTCAAACGCCCAATCTGGCATTTAGAACCCAACTTCGTGTATTAGAATTGAGACGCGAGGTTGGGTGTTGGCTGAACATCATTGAACGCGAGGGTCGCTCGCGTTTTGGTTTGTTGTAATTTGGGAACGCGGGGGTCGATGTTGGTTGAACCCCTACGAACGCGAGGGTCGCTCACGTTTAGCTTGTGCTTGGAAACGCGGGGGTCGCCTGCACTTCCAGAATTGTAACGCGGGGATGACATCCGTGTTTTAGAAGGAGCTAGTTGACTTGTAACTTCTTCTGTAACGCGTTGCAAGGACTGTTGTTCAGTAATCCTAGCTTTAACTGTTGTGGAGTATGAAAGTCGTCAGATTGTAACTTTCATTGCAGAATGCGAAGACTGCTGAATAGAGTTTTCATCAATTGTCGGAAGTGTCGTTGAATTGTAACTCTCCTCGATTTACATGAAAAGTCCTCTTTTTGCAGCTTTCGATTGTCGGCGCGAAAGCTATTTGATTGTAGCTTCCGTTGTTGGAACTTGACGGGAATCAACATCCATAGTGTCTTCTGGACGAATATTTTCCCATAGCTCTCTACCAAGCAACTCACCAACTACGTCCAACCTTTTATTTCTAAAATTATTACACTGCTCATCAGCATCTCTAATAGTTGCTAATATAATATTAGTCATGTTGTTGTCGCAACCATCAAGATCAATCATCTCAGAAATGAGGCCGTGTTTGTAGCGATTGTAGAATTGCGAATACAGTGATTAGAAAGTCGTCTGATTGTGACTTCCATCATCGGAGCTTGTTAGGGATCAGCTATCCATTGTGATTTTTAGACAGCCTACAGAACCCCCTCCAAAGTTTTTGAAAGTTCGCGGTTGACTGGGACGAATTTTCGGAATACTTTGGATCCCAAAATTTAGTAGATTAATTGTTCGCTCTGTCTGATCGAGCCAGATGATTCTAATGTTGCTCTGTGCTTTTCCAATAGACTCCCTAGTGGAGTCGTTTGTTTCTTCTCGGCTTTGGTCGCCTTGAGCCTTGATGTTAGCTCTTCTTTTATTCATCTGGGGGCTGTGTCGTAGCCTTGGTAGTCAAGAAGCTGCTATCATAGTGGTCCAAATACAGAGATAATTTCTGCATTTGAGAGTTGGAACGCGTGGGTGAGCTCAGCGTTGGAGAATTTAAACGCGTGGCTGAACCTCGCGTTTGGAAGTCCAAACAACTCGAATGCCAGGGTCGAGTTTGGGCGGGATTCTGGCCTCGAATCCCGTCCGTTACGATCTGACAGCTCACAGCTGTCTATAAATAGACCGCTGGAGGTCAAATCAAGAGTCATTCGACTCTTCTTGAAACTTTAACGAAAAATTTTGTTTTCTTCTCCGGCGACAACTGCACATCTCCTCCGACGAAACCTCATGGCACCCAAGAAATTGGTCTCTCATCCTTCCAAATCTGATGCCGCTGCGGCTCAAGGATCGGCACCATCAGCGCCGGCCGGCGGCGCTACTGCTCAGGCGAATGTGCCGCCCCAACTTCCTCTGATTGGCGGTAAGTACGACCTTCGTGGTCGCTAAACTTACTTCGGCGGGTTCTGATCTTTGGATCAACGAGGCAACTCGTTTCAATAACGCGGGGCTGGACTCCGTCGTTTGGTATTTTTGACGAGGGGTTCGACCTCCGCGTCTCAGATTTTTGACGCGAGGGTCGACCTGCGCGTCTGAATTTTCTGACGTGAGGTTCGACCTTCGCGTCTGAGATTTTTGACGCTGGGTTCGACCTTCGCGTCTGAGCTTATCTGACGCGGGAGTCGACCTTCGTGTCTGAACTTTGCTTTTGCCTTGTCTAAATTTTTTCTTTATTTTGTAGTGCGCCACACCAGTGAACCCCTTCTTTTTCGTCACCATTTTGGGCATGAAGGTGGTGCGGACATGAACATGTTAGGGAGAAGAGTCGCGTAGAATTAATTACCCAAGCTTCTTCCGACACTCTTAGGACATTGGTTACGGACGCCCGACTTGAAAGCCCAAGCCGTAAGCCAATAGTCAAACCTGGATACCTCTTCGGGGACTTTGTTGACTTCGACGCAAGCACTGCTTATGACGGGGACTATAAGTGG